ATTCTCTTGTCAATAACCATTTCTTGACAAACAAATATTCAAGAGTTAGTGTAGTTTTTATCAAAACACTTCATAAATTGGTCCTAGTTAGCCTTTGTCTTATCCGAGACATCACAACTTTCCATATTTGATGAATGTTATAAACCTTCTGAATACTTTTCACTCATTGTCACAATCTTAACTTTAAGATTTGTTATTGGAACAAAGTATGATTAACTTCTTGATTTAACCATTTCTGCAATTCTTGATTCCTCTTCTTAGGCATACAATTGTACTAAGACTCACTTAGAGGATCAACTAAGATATGGTTCTTAATCATAAAGACCTATCATAAAGCATAAAAGGTACTCTCCCTTCTTCTTAGAATGGAGAAACTTTTATCTTTCTGCCTACTTGATTCTTCTGATTCGTTTTGCTATTGATTTAAACCTTTTTAATCAATTCCGAATTATACTTAATCTTATAAGTATAATCATATTTACTAAACCTTTAGTAAATCATGAAGAATATCTTTGTTACTCTTATGGTGGACTTGATCAACACAAAACTTTGTGTGCTCGATCTCCTAGTCCTTTCACTTGACACTTTGTCATCGAATTAGTCTAATTTCCAAATATGAAATTTCTCATTCATCATGCAACCAAGTTGCGTGATTCCAAATTTCTGTCCAATTGAAATTTGGGCGATGAGAAACTCTCCCTATTTATTAAATTCTCGACATTTCCATAATCACCATAAATAAGAATCATATCCATTTGTTGTAGAAATATGCAAACATCAATTTTCATAACGATTTTATTACAAGGAAGTAAACAAATAAATAAATAAATAAGTCAAACAAAATTTATTTTATTTATAAAAGCAGCGGAAAACATGTGTCCTTACAATGCAAAATCCATTGAAAACTATGTATTTCAAAAGGAAAATTTCTAAGAACTCTATCATAACTATCTAAACTCAAAATCTAATCTTCAAGTCCATGCGATCAAGATCCATTTCTTGTGATTAGATTCATCTTGCTCTTTCACCAAGCTTCCTTTCTTTTCACCGATCCTGAAGCGCAGTCATACTCTTTGACTCTCCCATCTTTGGAATTTTCAGGCTCTTGGGGCATACTTCTATCCAACGCCCTTTCTCTTGGCAGGTCGCTTCTCTTAGAACGTCCTCGGAAGCATGGTTGGTTGACTCTCCCAACAAATACGCTCCATTGCTTCACCAAATCATTTTTGATTCAGCAGCAATGAGCATGTAAGTTAGGTCAATGAGGTTGTCGTCATGATCCATCATATAATACTCTATTTTGAACTCATTATATGATTCAGGAAGTGATTGCAAAACCCAATTTACAGCCAACTCATTCGGGAATGACACACCCAACATTATCAACCTATCAATGTGTCATTTCATTCCTAGAACGTGGGCACACACGGGTTTACCATCTTCATGTTTCATTTCCAATAGGGATTTAGTGATATTGAACCTTTCAATTCTTCGATCTTGCGGGTTAGGGAGAACAATTGGAAGAGGTGGAGGAAGTGAAGCATGATATCTTGTTCCTCGATCGAATTGTGGAATACCATCTTCATGTGGAATGCTTGTTCCACGGGATTTGGGAAGACCATAGTTGTCGAACTTTGACATCTACAAAACGGGAGAAAACGAATTCATGTTAGTTGATTGATTGAGTCCTTAGTAAATCACCCAAATGAGATACTAAGGCTAGGACCCAACACAATACGCTACAACCTAGAAAAGGGATGCTGTAATCTAGTTGCAGAATATTTGAAGGTAAGTAAATGACGATTTACTAATTTCCACCATCAAAAACGAAAAAGAAATTTAAGTTTTAAATCTATGAAAACTCCTAGATCCTTTGAGATTCATTGAACATTTCAATGGCATGTTTAAATCTCGATACGCCCCTCTTGTTTGTGACTGGGATGCCGATGATCACAAAGCGGGTGTGAATAACCATGCAAACTTACATGGTGCCCTCACATGTTACAATCATCTATTCGATGTGCCGGTAAACAACACACGCTCCACCGAACTATGACAAACATTGAGTCACCCTTTGCTACCTTTTCTTAGAAACATTTAGGGTGCCGGTAAACCATACACGCTCCACTAACGTCTTTGCAAGGGCACAAAGTGTAATTTCATGGAATTGCATCAATTCACTTTGCCTAAGTAACTAAGACTGGGAATTTGTAAAAACATTTAGTTACTTTTGTATTTCATTATACTTATAATGGAAGGTTTCGTCCTATCCTACCCGTTCGGCTAACGACCCTCCACTAGTCAAGAGTGCATACCCATTCAATCGGCATATTATAGGCAATTTCCTTAAACACCCCTTATAGACCAACTTCGTGAATGAGGCCTACTAACGGTAAGACTGAATTTTACTCATACATATATATAATTTTAGACTTTTAATGTTATATATATAGTATAGGGTGTATTTTACACTTTTAAAATATTAGGTGATCAAATTTAACAATTATACTTTTAATTCAATTAAATTGTAAACCTAAACTTTTATGGATTTATTAAACTTCTTTTAATTATACACCTTAATTAATTAATAAAACCATAAGGGTGTGATTTGAACTTTTCAAAACATTACTAGGGTTTTAGAATTTAACATTCCTAATTAAACTTTTAATCAACTTTTAAATTCCAAAACTTGAGGGCAAGTTTTGAAACATTTCAAAACATTAGGGTTTCAACTATTTAAATTTCAAAATAACAAAACTTTTGGGTTCAAATTTAAACTATAAAACCTAAAGGGGAAAATATGAAACTTTTCATAACAACAAGGATCAAATAACAAATACTTCAAATTAACATTTAATCACATAATTATCCATATTTGATTTGCTTAATGATTTCTTGCAAAACAATTTATCAATTTACTCAAAATAATAAATCAATTATCATATAAGGAAACAATTATCTTATTAATTGATAAATATCCTCAATTAGATCAAAATTATAGTCAAATATATCATATAATCGGATTAATATTGATCTAACATGATAAGGTAACTTTCCATAAGCAAAAACAGCAAGAAAACCCGAGATAGCCTCCATCTGACGAGTTGACTCGTCGAGTCAGGCTTGGACTCGTCGAGTCTGCATGGACTCGGTGAGTTCAGCTATGGACTCGGCGAGTCCAGCCTCCAGAACATCAAAAATCGAATTTTTTTGAACATGTAATGCATCAATACAATTGAACCCAGTCTAGGCTCTGATACCACTGATGGGTTTTGGTCATAAGACATCCTATGTGTTCATACAAACCCTAAAGCTTGGATCTAGGTTTCTCTGTACATGCTTTGAATCCAAGACTATAAACCCTAATTCTAGCATATGGAAATCGATATTAACATATAATTAGGTTTAAGATATTACCTTGATTGTTATGTAGCAATAACAATCCTAATTCCTCCTTGAATTGACTTCGGAAGGCTTAGAGTCACAAGTGTCACTCCTCTAATGGATTACAAACACCAAGAGCAAATGGAGAAGTTATAAAGAGAGAGGAGAGGTATAAGAATTCGTCTCTAGGACCTCTTGGGAAGGGATACACGAATTCATGAGCCTTAGGGGTTTATATATATGTAAAGATTAGGGTTTTAGTCCTTATCCTTATCTAGTTGCTTGCCCACCAAGTAACCATAAGATAAGTCTTAGAAACCCTTATCCTAGTCGAATTCTAAGGCCTTATCACCTTAGATTCGTCCAACCCATTAATAAGATAATCCTTACCTTATTTTGTAACTATCACATAATTACAATTCAGCCCCTTTAGTTTAATTAATTACACCTGATCACAAAATTAATTCCTAATTAATTATTGACCAATATTAATTAAACAAATATGATTTCTCCTTTAATATATTATTCTTATAACATATTAATAAATCATAATAACCTCTCTCTCTCTATTTATTTCTCCAATCAAGTTGCTTTGGTGAAGGCAACCTAAAAGGACCATGCACCATCGGGTCAAGTACATACCAAAATAGTTATGGACTTAGACACTAATCCAACAAATATCGGGGTGGTTGGATTAAGTGAATGATACGGACGACGCCTAAGGGATCGTTTGTATAGTTGTAAACTAATCGTTTTCATTAATGCGTGTTTATATCGATTCACAACCCATATTTAATCCAATGACACCTGGAATTATCGAATACACACGTTGTAACGGTATAACAAATTATATAACGCGTAATTCGAAGTATTAGGAAAACATCGGGTTTTCCTAGGGTTTTCAATACATACACCTGCGAGATGCATACCAATTCTAACAATTTTTCTTACATTTATAGAAACAAACAAGCATACTTACGGATCTTCACACTTTTTATACGATACTATTTTCAGAAAATATCGGATTTTCTGGTGGTTTTTTTTCAAAACAATACAAACCGTTTTATTTCAAACATTACTTATGAACTCACCAACATTTCATATGTTGACGTTTTTCAAAATGCTTGTATTCTCAGGTAACAGGTAAATCGAAGGGAAAAATGTATTCAGTGATGTCATGTTGTTTGTTTAACTAGGATCGAAAATCTACTTTTGGGAATGTAATGTTTTGAAACAATGTACTAAATGTAAACACTACTAGTTGTACTATTTCAATGCATGGTGATGAATGATGTTATGTTTCATGTATATTCACTGTGATGGTATTCAATTGAGTCACAACAGCCCTCGGACGTTTCCGCCGTCTGGTTCGGGGGTGTGACAAACCATCACTGCTAAAGGGTTTTTCATGCATTCAAGAAGGTTTTGACGCTAAGAAAAATTTCACAGTCCCCAATTTCGCAACTTGAAGCTTCGAAATCGTTGGTGAAGTAAGGTTGGAGTAGAAAGGTACGTGTATGGAAACAAGAAATTAATGATTATGAGGGTGGTTATCTTCGTCTATGGAGTTCCAAGTTTGAACTAACAAGTTGTGTTTTTGTTTTTTTATGAAACAAATGGCTTCTACTTCTGGAACTAAGAAGCCTAAAGGGCCTAAGCTCCCTAAGAAGACATATCTTCCACACTCTAACTCCGATGAAGATGCATTTGACTTTAGCTTCTTGGATTTTTCTGAAGAAACTTTCAAAGCCCCCTCAAGACTATGTGATGATCAGTTTCTTAACTTATTGTGTGATGAAAACGTATTAAGGAGGAGTATTGATGGAATAGTAGATGATGGAGATATTCCTGGTGTCCAACAAAAAGAGCATGCCCACTTAGATGAGGATAATGAAGATGTTGGTGTGGAGTATAGGGTGCATGATCCCAATGTTGACTGGAAAGATATGAGGCCCCGATTTGGAGACTATGAAAGAACATTCCAGATAAAATATTGTAATGAAATGCATTTGTGTGCTAGGAATTATCATTTTGGTTCCTTAGTTACTAGCAGTTGGTTAGCCAAACACTACCTGAAAGATGTGATCATGAAGCCCAAGATGACATTGCTAGAGATCCAAGCAAATGTGCTGCAAAGGTTTTCAATGAGTGTAACTCTTGGGCAAGGCCAAAGAGCAAGGGCTACTGCAATGAGGATGATAGAAGGGAAGTTAGAAGACCACTATGCCAAGGTTTGGGACTATGCAACTACAATTAGGTTGAGTAATTCGGGTACAACTTGCTTGGTGGGGGTAGAAAGTAATATGGGGTTTAACTATTTCAAAAAGTTTTATGTTGGCTTCAAGGCTTTTAGAGATGGATGGAGCAGAGGATGTAGAAGGTTAATAGAACTAGATGGTAGTTTCTTGAAGGGGCAGGTTAAGGGGGAGATTTTAACTGCTATTGGGAGGGATGCAGACAACCATGTCTACCCAATAGCATGGGCAGTTGTGAATGTTGAGAATAAGGACAACTGGACCTGGTTCATTGATAATTTGGTTGCTGATTTGGATCTTGGTGCTGGAAATGGATTGGTTATTATCTTAGACCAACACAAGGTACCACACCATACACTAATATACAATATATATTTGTATGTTACAGTCATTAATATTTACATGTGATGTGTTGTGTTGTGTTTGTTTGTTAATTATAGGGACTTTTACAGGCTGTGGCAGACCTACTCCCTAATGTTGAGCACAGACAATGTGCTAGACACATCTTTGCAAAATTTAGAAAGAAATTCACAGGATTAGAGCTAAAGAGTTTGTTTTGGGAAGCTGCTATGAGTACAGTGGAAGGGGACTTTCTTGCTACAATGGAGAAGATAAAGAAGATAACAAAAACAGGATACAATTATCTTATGGCAAGGAAACCTGAAACTTGGTGCTGAGCCTTCTTTTCTCATGGGTATGCTTGTGAAGTAGTAGAGAATGGGGTTGCATAATGCTTCAATGCCATGATCAAACAAATAAGGAAGAAGCCTATAATCACAATGCTTGAGGAAATAAGGATTCTCCTTATGAAAAGGTTTTTTCATCAAGGTCAAGAGGCCACCAAATGGAAGGGTAATTATGGGCCTAACATACAACTGAAGCTTAATGAATTTGGGAAAGATATGAGGTAATATAAGTTTTTATTGGCATTTATCCAAAAATATTAAGTATGTATTTATATATGTACTTTGTTTGTTTTGTGTGTAGGTTGTGGACAGTGGTGCCAAGTGGTGGTGATGTGTTTGAGACTAGGTATGGCTACAATGGATACAAGGTTGATTGAGCCAATCACACTTGCACCTACAACTTGTGGATGTTGTCGGGCATACCATGTGTACCTGTTGGTGGAAGCAACTTGTGGCTAATGAATAAGCTTATTAAATCATTACCACCCCTAGTTAGAAGGATGCCTGGAAGACCCAAAGTAAATAGAGTGAAGCATGCATCTGAATCAGAAGATGCCAAATACCCCTTTCAAAGGTTAAAGGTTACTAGGACTGTGAGGTGTGGAAAGTTCCAACAACTTGGGCATAATAAGATTTCATGCACAAATGATGAGGTACCTAAGCCACCTATCCCAAAAAGGAAGATTGGAAGACCTAGGAAAGATGGGGGAGGCCAACCTATCTTTGATCAATTCCCTCCAGTTGAGCCTGTTGTACCAAGAAGTGATGTTGATCCTCCCACAGTTTCAGAATGTGGTGATCAAGTTAGTGGGATTGATGTACCAAGAAGTGATGTTACTCCTCCCCCAGTTTCAAAATATGTTAATCAAGTAGGTGGTCCTAATATTAGTCCTCTGAAAAGGACTAAGATGATGGCAAGGAGAAGAGGGGAAACTAAAGTTTCTGGATCAAGGAACAAAACACCAAAGAAAACACCTAATGGTAAGAAACATAAGAGTAATGCAAAGGAGGATGTGTCCCTAACCTATGATGAGGATTTTGTTGATCTTTTTACCCATGCACCTAATGGTAAGCAAGGTATGAGTCAAGCAACAGAGGATATTCAGGAACAAGAACATGATGACAATGAAGTGAAGGTGAGTGAAAGACTTACTTTACAGGAGTTGCTGATGTCTGGATATACACATGCTGAAGCAGTGGCTGCTATGAAAGAGGTATGTTCTGGTAATCACTATTTTTGGCTTTCATATTGTAGATTTACTAACTACCCCTCCATATTGTAAGTTTATGGAGAGGTTGAGGAACAACAGATTGAAGAAAAAGAGGCTGAAGAAGGAGTTGAAGATAGAGAGGTTGAAGAAGAAGAAGTTGAAGGCATACATGTTGAGCAATAAGAAGTTAAAGGCATAGTGGTTGAGGAAGAAGGAGTTGAAGAGAGAGAGGTTGGAGCAACAGTCCTACCCTCCTGAAGAAGTTATGGTGCTTACAATTTCCATTGGGAGAAAAAGAGGAAACCCTCTGAAAGAATTAGGAAGTTGAAGCTCAGGAAAATGGTTGAAGATGTTGATGGTGGTGGTTCCTCCAAAACCCCTTGGGTTTTAGAGTAAGGAGTTGTGTTTAAGGGTTCAATGGGTAGAATGGGCATTAGTAAATAGGTTGCCCTTTTTGTAAACATCTACTTTTTGTGTTTAAGGGTTCAATGGGTAGAATGGGCATTACTAAATAGGTTGCCCTTTTTGTAAACATCTACTTTTTGTACACTTGTCTTTTGGTAACAAGCTTCCAATTCATATCCATAATGTTTGGTAGAATTGGAAGTTTAGTTCTAATTAGGTTAAATGGTATGATAGTGGTTTTTGGAAAGCATTGTAAAGTACATTCCCATTTTTGGGCTGTTAATTGACATTGATATTTGGTATGATTGTTAAGTTATATATATATATATATATATATATATATATATATATATATATATATATATATGTGTGTGTGTGTGTGTGTGTGTGTGCCTTGATCACTATAATTGTTGTTACCTTCCATATTTTGGTTAGCTTGGTAAGTAGGTTTATACATATGTATGTGTTAAAGGACTTAATACATTGTTATCATTAAGACATAATAAGTTGTTGTCATTGTCATCTCTTACAAAACCAAAAAATTGCCATACATAACACATGCATCTACTTACTGCCTAACTTAACCAAAAGACCCTTACACCTAAAATACTACTACCATTCCACCTGAACCTAACTAATGCCCACAACTTCATAGTGACTTAACCATAACATTGTGAACCATAAACCCCATCACTATCACCACCACCAGAAGCATGACCATCATAAGTAGCTCCACCTTCAACAAGTTTAAAATATCCGGTTGAACTTCTTTGTTGTTCTTAGCCTCCTCTGAAAGCTTCAAAACCTCCATTGCAAATGCTTTATTGTTGTTAGCCTCCTCCAAATTCATATGGAACTTCCATATAGTTTCCTTGTAGTAAGTTTTTGGCAGGGGTGGATCAAGCCATAAAAAAGCCACATTTTTTTGGAGTCCTGCACAACAATCACTTGTTCATAATGGTTCAACAAGACCACAAAAAAATTACTTAATATTACATGATAGTTTGGACACCCCCTGAATTTCCTCCATGGATTATCGACAGTTTTGGAGATCGAGAATGTCGCAGGTTCATCACAATCGCATCTCAAATCTTCAGACCAATGATTCCTTAAAACCCATTCTTTGTAACCTTGTGTGTGTGTGTGTTGGAGGAGCTTACCATCTTTTTGGTTTGAAGTTGGAGAGAAGAATCGACCCAAAACTACCTGCAACGTTCGACTAAGGGAGCAACCTGCTGAAACCGATGACACCGACGCTTTGCCCTCAAACGATAAGTCAATGAAAATAATGTGGTCACATTAAATGAAAAATCAAATTCAGGGCTTTTTCCAATTTAGTGCCAAAAACATGGGACTTTTGTGATATTAACCCTTTTTCAAAGTTATCAACTATGAAGAATTTTCATATTTTTAGAAAGCACCAGTTTCATTTATAGCAACATATTTGGTAAAGACTAAAGAGTTTCATTCATAACAACATATTTGGTAAAGACTAAAGAGTATCCAATATGCACCTGATGTAGTTGGATATTTGGATCAAAGGGGCACCTGTAATATTGGGGACAAAAAATTAATCTGCAAATCAACTTCTAAGAGGCTATTAATCATAAAACACACAAACCGGGAAAAAAAGAACTTGTCACCTAAATTTTAAAATCTTAAACCTTGCTTTTTTTCCCCTCACAATATACAATCACTCGTTCCAGTCCAATCCATTCGTGCACAATATCAGACCAATTGATTATGATATCCACACACATACATATCCAAACATACACTCACATACTTACAACACAGTGACTTCACCTTTAAGTGTTATGTTTTCATCTTTAGCAGGGGATTATCTCTCCATCTTGCATGACTCAATCAACTCCAGAACTTGCCCAAACACCACAAGCCTTAGTGTTAGCCATGATGTCTATAAAAGAAAGAAATAAATGTTACATGTTTATATATGTTATAGAATGATGCCCGCTATCATACCTTGACTGTGTTTCTAAAGAATTGACTTCCATTTTTATTTTATATTGTAGTCTCCATGCTATCAAATTCTTATCTAACATCAATCACTATAATGGTAAGGTAAAATTAATGATTATTGGTTTCAAAGAGCATGTTTAAACTGCATTTGTTTCATTCCTAAAGCTTGATACATCGTCATTACCAACGGTACAAAAGGATGGCTTGTAGATGTTACACATTAGCTTAGTTGAATTTTAATTAAATCTTGATAAATATCATAACCCTAGAAATATTAAATCAACAAATTTAGAACTATTCCTAATAAGATTTAGTTCATATAAATGGTTAAGAAACCCAAATATATTCATAAATACGTGAAGGGTTCCATGTAATGGTTTTACATATTCTCCTATCCTAACCAATAACTCATCTACAGCTAAAAAAATTGACCCGATTCCATCATTTGTGTACATACCTTTTTTTCTTGCGTTTAGCACTAATCTTAAATAACAAAATAAATAATAATAATAATAATGTACCTCCTAAATTATATTCAAGGCTTTAATTGCAACAACCTGAAACAACAAAAAAGGAATGGTGAATAGAATATACCATTGTTAGAAACATTGTTAATGATAGCAAGTTGTAAGTATTAGGATATACATCCCCATGGTAATTTGTTGGGATCCCAATCATGTCATAATGGATGGTGGGTAAAAATAGAGCCAACTTTGTGTATTATCATCATCAGCAAATCAAAACATTAACTTCAATTGATTCCATAATAAAAACCAAACAAATAGTAAAAAGAAAGTACAAAACTTAAACCAGTATTAAGGGGGTAGGAAGAATCTAAGAGAGGAGAAGTGGTTGGGTACATGGTGAGTGGTGGTGGTGGTGTAGAGGAGAAGGGGATACAAATGTGGTGACTTTTTGGGGAATAAACCATATAAACGAAACTCCTACGTCAAAATATCACAAAAATCAAAATCATGTTGTTATCAACATAAACATCACCAAAATCAAAATAAAAAAGGAAGCAACAAATATAAATAAATAAGGAAACTAATGTCTAGAGAGGAAATGTATCTACCTAAAATCAAAATATTGCAACCTCTAGGTTAAGGATCTACAAGCTATCGGAAGTCAGATAACCTAAATATTTGAATTTGAATAGTCGATCCTTACTCAAGTTTGTTTCTATCCTGTAATCGCATAAATACACCCAAATCTGTTATAGAGTACATAGAAACACACTTAACCTCAAATAGATTCAAACACACAATCAACAAAAACCTTATAATTTTGTATTTCACTTGATCTGTCCATAACATCATCGTTTCTTTGTTTCTCTTTAAAATTTCTTCCTTCTGAAGGTCGTCGACGATATGCAATGGTGAAGTGGTAGTGAGGTAGTACAATGGTTGGATGATAGGTGACTTAGGGTTGAGAGAGAGAGAGAGAGAGAGAGAGAGAGAAAGAGAGAGGTGGTTGGATGATAGTGTTGAAGATGGATAGCTGATGAAAGCAGCTAGTATGAATCTTGTTCTCTGGGTATGTGTGTAAAACCTGCAATACATACGACCTCAGATATAAGAAAACCTATTGTCCCAAAACAAATACTGAGCAAAATAAACTCACATAAATAGCATAACAGAGGCAGGGAAGGGACATCGACTTACCAATGGCGGTGTGCATGTGTTGTGTTGCTCTGGTGGTGGTAATGAGTGGTGTGACGATGGTAGGGAGAAGAACGACGACTTGCTTCAATACCTAAATCATTTGTGTAATTTGTAGGTGGGCGGGATCTTACCGGTTTTCATTTGACTAATGTATATAAATATAAGAGATTTATGTGTAATATGCTTATGTAAAGCTTGCCTAGTTTTGGAGGTTTGATTGGGTTCAAATAGACCGAAACTAGAGAAAAATAAATGCAAACATGGAGAAAATCAATAGCAGACAAAATAATTCACCGAGAAACAGATTTCTTGAATTATATGGTGACGATGGGCCTAAGATGTAAAAGATAAGGATGATCTCAAAATGCTAAAAATGAAGGAATGTGGGTAGTTAGCGGATGACAAATTCAAGATATAAAATGGGCACAGTCAAACTAACAAAATTTGTGAATGAATGTGAATTTTAAGTGATATGAGTATGACTTTTGAATTACATATTACTTTGACTTTTTCAACGGTTTGACGGATAAGATTTACATTTTCTATATGTATAAATTAATTGTACATATTGCATTATGGTTTGTACGACTTAATATTAAGCCTTTGACCAAATATGCTTTATAAGGTACTAGCCGTTTACCCGCGCTAAGCGCCGGGCAGCAAAGAGTTTCGTTCGGAAGATAGTTTTAATGTGATGATTAGTTTTGTACATTTATAACATGTCCAATATATAAACTACACCAATCTACAATAATGTTGTTTCATCTGCTAGCCCTCCATTAAACATCAAATGAGCATCTAGGTTATAACCCGTGTAACACACGGTAGAGATTAAAAAAACTTATATAATAAGAAAAAAAATTATTTGATCATATTGCGAACAATTTTTTGTATATAATAATTGATGTATATTTTTAAGTTTATGATCGTATAATTAATATCTAAAATACTTACAAATCGAATTCAGTTTTGCTTTAAATAGATCGACAGTTTGGCAAAGATGGTATTAATCAAATTAAAATCTTACCATGAATACTAACATTGGCAAATATACTTGATAATTTAAAAATAAATATAATAACTGTCAAAATCCCTACCAAAAATATTTAAAATCATATAAAACTAAACAAATATACTCAAAATTTTAAAAATGAATATAACAATTGTCGAAATCTCTACCAAAAATATTTCAAATCATATAAACAAATACCAATACAAATATTTTCAAGAAACGAATTAAGTTGCTGAAAGTTATATATCCAGACAATTTGCTTCACGAAATTCCATAAATGTTCATCGGAATTCGGATTTGTTTTTGACATTCCGTAGTATTTTTGATTTGTTTGTTTTTATTTTCTTTAAAATCCAAAATTTCAGTCCAGAATTTCGGAATGTCAGTCCGAAATGTTTGCAAAAAAAAGTATTCTAAATTTTTGTAAAAACAAATTTTTTGCTAAGTTACTTCCTTTAAATACACATTACATTATAGTTAGATTATTCACTTTGCTTTTGTCAAGGATCACGTCGGTGTGGTGTTAATGAGTTGAGATTTATATGTTATAATTAGTTAATTATTGCTAAAGATTTCTTTGTGAATTTTCATTTCTATTTTTTCTATTATCATAATTGTCTTTAAAAATCGAAACATGCATTAATAATGTTGTGAAGATGTAGAACACAATGCCAAGATACAAACAAAAAACATGACACATGTAAAAGGAAATTGTCAAAGTTAGTTAAAATTGCCTTGGTTCACGAATAACTTAGTTATGAATCCGATTTGATAAAAAAGACTACAACTGTATTTTATATTTCAAATTAACTTATAATGTTTCACATTTACAAGGACAAGAAAGTTTTATACTGCAAAAAATTCTTACATGGACCCAAACCCACTCTTCTATGTTACCCCAAAAAGTCACCTAGATTGCTAGAATTTTAATCTCATCAATTTAGTCCTTTTTTTAGACAATGAAAAGAGAGTGGACTAAAATTTCAAACTAATGTAAACTAAAACTTAGAGAAAAAAAAATCAAAAGGAAACGACATGCCACATCCAAAATCATATCTGAATTCAATCGAATTTATAGCAACCAACTCTGGAGATGTTTCAATTTTCCATTAGCTCACTTTTTACAGTCACTTTAGTGAAGCAACAACAGTTGTGTCAAAATACATGTTTTTGTAACTATTCATTGGTGGATGCTTAGGAAAGAAATTATAAAATACTCCTTAACAGTTGGATATGATTGAATGTGATTAGGGAGCATTAAATTCTGACCAAAGAGCATACAAGTTGATACTAAATAAGCAACTACACATGTATGTATCAGTACTAAATAATTAAGAACCAATAAGTAAAGAATTTACAAACATATACACAAATTTGTGCTAAATAAGCAAGTACACTCAATAATCTAAGAGCATCCTAAAAATAGTTAATCTGAATTTTAAATGCTAAACATTTAATAACAACCTATAAACAACTACAACAATCTTTCTAAAACTTTATCCAGTTAGCTATTTTTTAAAAGTTTCACATATCATCGATCATATTGCAATGATTAAAATGTCATTACTTGAGAACTATAAGCTTCCTTTTCGATGGAAGAGAAAGAATACATTATGTCTTGATGCATCAAAAACTACATACTCACCCCCACCCTATATCAATAATAAAACTTCATTTATAAAACCTCATTAGAGGATAAATATATGCTTACAAATTATGGGAATATAGTTTTTGATGAATCAAGACATAATGATAAGATAAGAATTACTCTTGTCATTTGACTTTTTTGCAGACAACATTGACCGACACCTCTTTCAAGAATTGTAGTTCCACCGAGATCTGCAACTCTTTTGTCAAGCTTCTTTGCAACAAACTAAAATTACATGAACATCATATCTTTGTTATTTCCAGTATTTGTATAAGCCTATATTTTAGTTAAATACTGTACTGGTTGTATATTATAATTCTAATGAGAACATAAATTCAAGTAAATCTATGAATCACCACAGCAATCCATTAAAATAAAACCCTTTTGTACCTCTTCTTCCACTCTCTTCAATTTCCATTTTGTTTCTTCTTCCTCAAATTCCCAATTGAATTGCAGAAACTCCATATGGGTCTTCAATTAACAACCCCTCTCATCCTACTCGTACTCTCCATCTGTTCTTCAACTTCTTCCTATGCAGACCTCACAACCTTCGTTTACAAAGGTTGTGCTAACCAAAAATTTCAAGACCGATATGGTATCTCATCGCAAAACCTTAAATCACTCTACTCCAATCTCATATCCCAATCATCCACTACCAATTTCTATAACACCACCACCGAAAATGCCCAATTAACAACCTCCATCACTGGAGTTTATCAGTGCCGAGGAGATTTATCCAACTCTGATTGCAACACATGCATCAAAAAAATCCCTGAAAGAATTGAGAAAGTATGTGGTGGAGATACAATCGCCACCAGAGTTCATCTGGATGGCTGTTATATGAGGTATGAAGTTGTTGGGTTCCCGACGGCGTCAGCAACGGAGCTGCTGTATAAACAGTGCGCGTCGAATCGGGCTAGTGGGTCTAGATTTGATGAGAGGTTGGAATCGGCGTTGGTGCAGGTGGCGACGGTGGAGGCGCTGAGACATTCAGCAACGACGCCAAGAGAGACGATAGAGATTTGCTTTGATTTTTTTAGTAGTGTTGTGTGTAGGAAGGAGACGGAAAGAATAGGGTTTCGATTTTCTGATGCCGGTTGTTGTGTGTAGAGAAGATTAGGGTAACATCGTCGAGCAAGAAATACTACCATAGAAACACTTGTATTTTTTTGAATTTGGTCCAATATATTTTTCTTTTTTTCAAAATCTCCCTTTATTTTTTTTTTCTTGAAATGCAATAACCAGGGCAACACAAAGTTCATTCCCAAATTTTAATTTTTTGTCAATTAACATAGGCTTATTGTGTTTTCGAGATAATATTTCACATATGGTGTATGCCAATAATTCAAAAATAGTTATAACAGTATTATTAATTAACATGTACAACAGTTTCATTCAAAAATTAATAAATAAATGCCATGTAACCACGTAATAATACCATGTGCTACACACTTTGTTGTTGGTTTGAGTAGAGCTGGTTTTGTTTGATGTAATCAATAATTTCATCTGATGTCAAACACTTCACTGATAAACCTTGTGAAATGCAATCTCTATGATCACAAACAAACAAAACTAAACTCCAAAAATTATAGAATTTTATTGGATTGGAATTTGGATGCCTTACTAAAGTTGAGCTAATACGGTTTGGTACTATTTCATCAACCACTTGGATGTTTTTCTGCATGATTCGGATTACAAAAAACGGATAAGCTCAAGAATATGCAACAAGATCGGTGAAAAGACATAAATGCCCCTACTCTGTATTATGTCAAAATGTCTATGTGTAAGATGATTTTCTCAATGTCTTTACCTTCTACGGATAGAAACAACACCATAATCTCTGCATATACTCCTCACCTAAAATAAAATGTCAACAAAAAAAAATCATAAATTAAGATTTATAGAATTACTGATGAAAAATTACACAAAAATAATAATTTACTTATTTACCTGGTCAGGTATCCAAGCTCCAGGAATGCCAAATGATTCTAGCAGATCAGAGCCACAAACAAGCATCACCTTTAAAGATTCTTCAATTCAGAAAACAAAAAATATTAGAGCATCTTGAATCCCAACAAAGGTCTCGAAAAGGGTAATTTGGTCATAACAGGGTGCACTTTGTACCATTAGGTATGAATCCATTATCAGAAAAGAAGCTCCTGATTCTTGACAACACAGTCAATGAGTGTTGAAATGAAGTTTGTTTTGCCTAAAACAGATAAATAATTCTGCATCAATAGAAAAGAAAACATAAACAGGGGATTTATGAAACAAACAAGTCCATTTTCAAGAAACAATAATCAAAACATTTAATATATATATATTTAATAAAAAGAAATGTGTTGTACTTTTGAAATCCACTAACCTCCCATGCATCCACCATTACAAAATCAGAACTTTTGCAAGCTAATTGGCACATTGTAATACGGTGTTCAGATCGTATTAAACCCTATGTAAAGATTATAAAAATAATAAAGTCTATAGTTTTTACTTTTTATGCGTAATGCTAAAGAATTTTGATTTTGGTAAAATAAGTTAATGATAAAGTTTCTTTTTCTTAATGTACTTTTTTTTGTATGCATCGTTTATAGGCGACATATAACCTCCAACAACATTGAATCCTTTTGTATTAAGTGCATCTCTTGCCAATTCTAAGCATTAAAAAAATTGACAATTTGTGTAAACCCAAAACATAAAATGGGAAAGTAACTACATAACAAAAAGGCGTAAATGCGTGAATGTAGGAGGATTAAAGCTTCATGTGGATACCAAAACTACTTGAATTTTCCCCCTATGAGAATGTAAGATGGGTGAACAAGTAATTATGCATTGTGTATTATTTTTAGAAAGTAATCATTAAACATGATGATTGTGTAAGACTTACTTTGTGTTGGAATGTGATGAATCATTTTTCT